TGCCCATTGCACAGCCCTTTCAAGGCACAATAAGAGCCCTCGTAGGAGAAAACAGGAAAAGTCCAGTGCATGACAGGATTAGCCTTTCCCAGTGGAATACAGCTGAACCCGGAAGAAGCTCAGCATCTATGGGAGTTGCAATTCAGGTGGAAGAATCTCAAAGATTATGAATTAGACTGTAAATCCAGTTCAGGAGGGACATATTCTACAAAACAAACTTTGAATTTGACCTTATATACAGCACGCTCTGAATAGTCCATGTTTCTGGCCCCTAAGAAACTGAATCTTGGACAAGTCTAATCAGAAGTAAGCCCAAGTGAGTTCAGTGGAATTTAATTCTGGGGAAAAGTTTGTAGGTTTGTCATCTAAACTTCAAAGATGTGTGGTAGGATGTTTAGTCTGGCAGATGCCATGGTTTTGCTGCAGTAGGCTCAAGTATGGATCTTGTGGAAGGAAGTATTGAAAGGTTGAAATTCTTTGTGTATCTCCTGGTTTGCTCTTGCCCAAATAAATCAAGAGAATTACTGAGCCGAATGTAGGCCATGTGCGGTTTATAAGTTTCAACATTAAGAATGTAGTACTGTATACTGCTGGTTCCAATCCTTGGGTAACCAATGTGCTGGATTCCCAGAAGTCTTCACCACTAGATGTGCTGGGGTTTCTGGGACCAGATTAGCAGCTGAAACTTGCAGCTCAAGAATACCTGAGTTATTCAAGATTGGGAACCACTGCAATATATTATGAATAACACTGAAAGGATTCTGCAGTCCTGCGTAGAGTATGTGAGTGTGTAGATGTGTAAGAAAGAGATGTTCCCAACCTGATGCCTTCTCTATGTGTTGGTTTATTAATCTCATTGTCTCAGCAATAATGGCCAAGAGCCCTTGTGGCTGGAGAATGATGGGAATTGTAGTCTTATGTCTCTAGAGGGTGCTCTGATGTATGTCACAGATGGAAAGCATATTGGACCCCATGAAATAGGAAGGAAGAATCCTGTTCTTACTTTCTGCCAATGTCTTGACTTCTTTCCTAGAAAACAGGGCTTGACAGAGGCAAAGGAGATGGGGTGCAGAGGAGAAGGGACAGGCCCCGGCCTTTGCTGCTAGCCCATTTGAGAGCCTTAGCTGTGAGGTAAAGCAAGACAGCTAACAGAACTGTGGGAAGGGCGCAGGGTTGAGACTGGGGGCCTGATCCCTCCATAGGAGGAGAAGCCAGCTTTCTGACCTCTTTGTCACTTGGTTCCCAGGTCCTGCTTCTTAGCCTCCAGGATATGTTTGCATGCCTGCTTTTATATAGCCCGCATCTTCCAGATTAGCTGTAAGCCTGTCACTATGGTCAAAATGCTGCTGCTTTGCCCCTTGTTTTCTAAGAACTGTTCATGCTGCAAGCGTTTCCACCCTTTTTTGGCTGGGAGTTTGGAAACTGGATGGGTGAAGGTGACTTGTTCAGGCTTGTCATCGAAGACCATGGCATCTCTCCCAAAGGTCAGAGAGCATCTAGCAGCTGCCTTTCACAATCCCTTTGGAAGAAGCTGCTGGATCCTAGACAGAACGGGGGCTATAACTCACTGGAAGAGCACTGGCTTTACATGTAGGGGGTGAATTAAACCTGATTCTTGGCATCTCCAACTAAATAATATATATGCAGGGGGTTCCAGGTGTAATTCCTGGCATCTCCAACTAAATAATAAATAATCCTGTCCCATCAAATCAATTTGGAGATGACATCCCTTTTCCAGGTAGAGAACACTCAGAAACTGATTACCGTTTGCAACAGGCAATCAGAAGAATCTTTGATTGGAGAGGGACTACAACACTGAGCTAGAAGGACAAGCAGGCTGACCTTGTTTAACCCAGCTTCCCATGTTCTTTTCCTTCTGGCTGAAATATATCACAGCAGTGGTTGCAGTTAGGGCTGGGTGCCTTCTGTCCCAAAGCAATTGCAAATTCTGTGCCAAGTAAGCCTACATTTTGTTGCAGAAGAAATTGTATTGCACATACATGTATGTATTTTGCTGTATCTAATCTACTTTTTGCCTGGGTCACTTTCTGCTAGTTTGCGTCAGAATCTGGACAGTTTTCTCTTTTGGACTGCACTTCCCAGCCTGCACATGGTTAGGGGATTCTGGGAGCTGTATTCCGTGCAAGTAACTTTCCCAAAGGCTGCGAAGGCAAGGAGCAATGCCGACTGGATGATGCTGAGAGTTGTAGTCCAGCCTATTTTGAGGAAAGGGTGTCAGGCTAGGTCAAAACTGAGTTGCAGTGTCAGATGTAAACTGTTCTATGGGAGGCATTGCTGGTGTTTCAGTTTCCAAATGGAATCTTTGAGATGCAAGTCTCAGCTGATGTATGTGCAATTCCAATAAAAAGACTGGAATTAAACTTAAGCCTCTTGACTTGCCTGATTTAGCAGTTTTCCAATTGTCTTGAAACCCCCTTCAGCCTATAATAATACCCTGTTAATCTGCAGTTGCCTTTGAAACCCAACTTAGTTCAAGGGCAGTAGCTGAAATCCAAGGGTTTCATGATGGGAAGGAAGCTTATGGGGACAAACAGAGCCACTGACTGACAGTGGCAAGCAATCCATCTTAAAACCACCATACTTCAGTCCAGCCAAAGAAACCTGTGTGGAGAAGATGCATACAATTGTTTGTCTGTGAGATGTATGGCAGTGTCCACCAGTGAGGTGGAGCATGCCTTAACCTCAGCAGAAGATTCCATGGGGGGCATTTCTCATATGCTGGCTGTCCATTGACATAATGGATGTACCCTCTTGTACAAAAGCTCGTTTGAATCAGGGCCCTTTAAAGAAGGAACACCAATAGAAGGAAAGCCAGTGACAGTAAAACAGTTGTAAGGAAGCTGTGGCCCTCTACAGATGTTGGTTTCTGTCTCTGAACTCTTGTCCATGTTGCTTGGGATTGATGGGAGTTGGAGTCAACAACATTTGGAAGGCCAGAGGTTCCATGCTTCATATAATGGGAGAAACTACTATAATTACTGCTATAATTACTTTAAATGTTTTCTCTCTACAGCAGATCAAGTGAGCAAAGATAAAAATTTTATCCCAGACATCTAACTTTTCTATGGGCAAAGGTGTTTTGTTCTGTCTTGTTCATAGAGAGGGGCATTCAGCAATGTCAACCTCCACTTGCGTTCTGAAGTGTCACAACTATGACAAGAAACTTCTCAACTAAAAGAGAACTAGGTCAAAGCAGTGAATGTCAGCATGCTACCTTTTCACACTTGCTGTTTCACACTTGCATGTTTGTTGCTTGATGTTGGTAGTATTAAATCAGACTTGCAGATGCAAAGATACAGAAAAAAATGGGGAAAATAAACCCACACAGCTGATACTTTTTTTCCTCCTGAGTTTTTTTTCCTCCGAAGTTTTTTCTGGCCTTTGCATCTCTAGAATGGATTGCTGTAGAAGACACACCAGAAGTGGCTTCTGTATCATCGCAAACAAAATACTTCCAGTGGAATCACAGTTAAGACATTCAACTACATTTCAGCCAGTAGTACATTTACGACTTAATAATCATGTGCCTTGGTATTTCCCCTCCCCTCATAAATAAATGGCAACTTCTACCCCTAGAATCCTCCAGGAGTGGTGAATTTCGTTTAAGCAAGGGTGCAAATAGTTTGTTTAAGCTCCTTCACCTCAGTCTTCTCTGAACCATATTTTGAAAAGTAAAATAAAATAAAAAGGAGCATTGCAAAAGCTTTTCCAGACAGCCCCTGTTTGGTGGTGGTGGGTTTCTGCAGCCATCAGAGGGTCTAGGAGAGCTAGGAACTGGCTTCCCAACCTCTGCTTACTGCCACCTCTGCTTTACCTTTTTAGTGCCTGCTGCCCTACAATGGCTAAGTTACCTTCCTGTGGCCAAGGTGGTGGCAGGGCACTAAACATGAATTCTTATCCTTTCTCCTTGGCCACTAAAGTAGAATGATGGTGTGAATACATTAAATGATTTCTATGTTACTGAAACAGTCATTTGTAGCAATAAACCTGAGATGAAACAAAAATAAGACCAGGAATTATGGTTTTTTTAGTATGGTGCTAATAATACTGTGAATACATTAAATGATTTCTATGTTACTGAAACAGTCATTTGTAGCAATAAACCTGAGATGAAACAAAATAAATAAGACCAGGAATGATGGTTCTTTAGTATGGTGCTAACAATACAGGAAGTACTGGGATATAGGGACGTGGTGGCGCTGCGGGCTAAACCGCAGAAGCCTGTGCTGCAGGGTCAGAAGACCAAGCAGTCGTAAGATTGAATCCATGCGACGGAGTGAGCTCCCGTTGCTTGTCCCAGCTCCCGCCAACCTAGCGGTTCGAAAGCATGCAAATGCAAGTAGATAAATAGGGACCACTTCGGTGGGAAGGTAACAGCGTTCCGTGTCTAAGTCGCACTGGCCATGTGACCACGGAAGATTGTCTTCGGACAAACGCTGGCTCTACGGCTTGGAAACAGGGATGAGCACCGCCCCCTAGAGTCGAACACGACTGGACAAAAATTGTCAAGGGGAACCTTTACCTTTTTTAATAATACAGGAAGTATCAGCATGCAAGCCGAACGACTAGCTACATACAGTACACTATGGTGTTCTAGCAAGCAAGGGGAGAATGAAGCTTCTGAGCAAACTGGAATCAAGCTGACTTCTGTGCATGGATGAAAAAGATCCCCTGTACATCATCCACACCAATCTTCAGGCTCGGTGGCATGCTGTAGGAGCGGAAGTTGTGGACGCAATAGCCACTCTTGGAGAAGGATTCCTTGACATCTGCTTCTCTCATGGGCACTACAGACAGCTTGGCTTCTCCAGCCAAGTAGAAAGACTCTTCCAAAGCCCCAATCATGAGGAAATGGCCTCCAGGCTTGAGAAGGGTGGTGACGTTCCGGAGTGCCCGGTCAAAGCTTGGGCGGTCGGGGCTCACAGCCTCAAGGCAGAAAGCAGACACCAAGGCATCGGCTGGCTGGCTGAGCACAAAGCCCAGGGGTTTGGGTTGGTGGACGTCAATGGGAAGGATCTTGGTGAGCTTCTTCTTCAGCTTCTGCTCTTTTTCTTTCCATGGCTCCCTGTAGTAGTTAGGAGCAAGATGCAGAGAATGGGTCAGGCATGAAGTTGGAAAGTTCCCTGTAGTAGTTAGGAGCAAGATGCAGAGGGTCAGGCATGACGTTGGAAAGTAAACATTTTGGACCAGAATTCCTAGAATCATGAGTTATTGTCACTGGCCCTGTTAGTTAAGGGATCCTTTGATATATTCAAAAAAAGAGAAACTTTCTTTCACACTGGTCAGGGCTATGCTGCCATTTCCTTAGTCAACATTTCTTCTAGCCCACTAGCAGCTTTCCTCAGTTGCACTGGGTTGGCTTTGAATCTCTATCATGAGAGGATCTGCTGTAGAAAAGTGTGGGGCAGAACTACGATTAATTTAGCTCAAATTCCATGGGGTTTTGGATTCGCAGGAATGATGGCACCATCTGCCAAACCCTCCAAGCCTCCCTGTCCCCTCTGAGCTTTAGCTGCAGTCTTCACCATCCAGAGAGACATACTGTACATTCCGCCCAGCAAGAATACACGGTTGTGAGCTACTCTGTTTTAATGCAGAGTATTTGGAAATGACTTGGCCTTTAATGGGCAATCAAGACTCAGTGGCTTTACAAAAGAGCAGCTCACAGTGAAGATGAAAAAGAAGTAAAATTAGTTTGTTGCTATGGCTCAAAACATCTGTAGGCATTTTGGATACTCCTTGAGGAGTCTGTTTATGTGGGCTCTTATGATGAGTGCCTGGCACCTTTAATGTTTGCTGCTACCTGGTCATGTACATTGTAGGCAAATTGGGTAGCGAGCTGTCTGATAAGCACACTGAGAGGAGACCAGAGTGCAAGGGAAGAAGAGGAGATGAGGCTGGTTGGTTGGTACGAATCAGGGATCTTGCACCACCAGCGCTAGCACTAGATTTTCTGCATTGGCAGTGAACTGATCTAGATGTTCTTTCAGGGTGCATTGCACTTAGTGACTCTATTAGGGCAAGACTGGAAGTACTGCTGTAGTGAATTATAAGGGCTTTGATTTGACCACTGAGGTGGGCAGAAGGAGAGGATTGTGCCTAGTTATGTTACAGTATTTATATGGTGGCTGATTGCTTTGATTTGACCACTGAGGTGGGCAGAATGAGAGGATTGTGCCTAGTTGTTATTTATATGGTGGCTGATAATGAACAAGAAGCACGACAGCCAACATAAAATCCTCCCATTAGGCTGTTGAGGAGGCACAGTCCAGAAAAACTCATCATCTTTAAACTGCAGAGCTGGAAGGGACCCTGGGGAATCGAACTTCCAATCTAAACCACCTATTGTCAAGAAGACACAGTGGGGAATCGAACTTCCAGCCTAAACCACTGACCTCCCCAGCAGTGCTAGATGTTCTGGACTACAACTTCTGGTTAGTGCAATTTTAGGCATCTCCTCCTCTCCTCCCGCTTCTTGTAGCCCATTCAGATGCTGTAGCACCCACTGCTCCACCCACTCCCAAAGGCACCCGGGCCACCGTAGGGGGTAAGGTGGGTCAAAAGTGGTGGTGGTTACATTTAGCTGAATCTCCAGCTCAACTCCAGGGAGCCCTCCTTTACTTCTTACCCTTTGCCCTCAATTCTGCAAACATGCTGGATATAAGGAGACCAGTCAAAGGTGCCCGAATCATTGCCATGTACCCAGCTGTAGATCTCGGCCCGGTTCACTTCCAGGTAGTCAGTGGCCACAATCTCCTCGAAGTAGTCACAAGCACTAAGCAACTGGTAGATAGTGGGGCCCGTGCCAATATCAATGATGGTATGGCCATGGATCTCCCCTGCAAACAATCAGAGAGCAAAAACTAAATAAATCCTCTCAAAATGACCCAAGAAAATTTTCTCTTTCTTTTGTCGCAAAACAAGTAACAACAACAAGGAGTAAATTATATGGGGGAAGAATAAAGATGTGATCAGTCAGTCTTATTTTAGGGGAGGAAATGTTATTAATGCCCTGATTACACCCCAAAGTAATGCCTGACGGCTTACAAGTTTGCTTAATGTGTTACTCCAAGTCTCTGTGCCCAAGTCTCCAGATTCCAGAAGGTAAGGCCAGATACTTTTAAGAGTGATAAGCTGGCGTCCTCCAAGGTTCACTGATAGACCCCTGTCGATTCTGGTTGATCACATGTGTGGGTAAGGAGAGCCAGAAATCCTGCCTGCCCTTTTGTCTCTCTTTTGCCTTTACTTCCTTCTGCTACTGTTTCAGACCAATAGTCTCAGGGTCCCCCTGTCAATTCTTCTCCTCCCTTCTTCTTATGATGCTTTCCTGGCATACTGTGGCTCCTCTTCCATGTGCTCTACAAGGGCATGGGTCAATCTGGTCAGAATTAAGGCTTCGGCTTTTTGGTCTTGAATGTAACTTTCTGAATACAGGTTAGGTATTTGTTTTAACTGCTCCTGCCTGCTTTTTTGTGGGACTAACAGGAGCTTCAACGGGACGTGGTGGCACTGCGGGCTAAACCACAGAAGCCTGTGCTGCAGGGTCAGAAGACCAGCAGTCGTAAGTTCGTAAGATCGAATCCATGCGACAGAATGAGCTCCCATTGCTTTGTCCCAGCTCCTCGCCAAACTAGCAGTTCGAAAGCATGTAAATGCAAGTAGATAAATAGGTACCATCTCGGTGGGAAGGTAAAACGGCGCTCCCTAGTCACGCTGGCCACGTGACAATGGAAACTGTCTTCGGACAAGCGCTGGCTCTATGGCTTGAAAAACGTAATGAGCACCGGCCCCTAGAGCCGGGCACGACTGGACTAAAAATGTCAAGGGGAACCTTTACCTTTAACAGTAGCTTACTCTGCTATTGAGAGGAACCTTCTTCCATCTCTCTCTTACCTTGTGAACATCCACAACAAAGGCAAGGGAAAGCAACTGATTCACCAGGGGCAATATGTGGCCATGTTTGGGAATACAACCTTCTGGACACATAGGGCCAGCCTGAGACATTTTGCCACCTGAAGATGGTCAACATTCTCATTTCAAAAGACAGGACTGCAGTCAAATTTTATTTGAACAATGGTAATTGCCCATGGACTTCTACTGTACTCCTGGGTTGAAAACAGGTTTAATGGGTGCAGCCCAGGCCACATGGGACACACGGCATGGTATTTTCTACACTATCTCGCTAACAGCCCTCTGTCTCTGAGAATAAACTTCTTGAGGCAGCTGCCTCCCTCTGACTGATAGTAGGGCCGGTCCTTCAGCCAAGAAGCAAAGTTAACAGCAGAAACTTGCCATCAATTGATGCAAAGTCTATACCTGCTCATGCTTTTCAATCACCCTGAACCATTTCTTTGCCTTCTGCCAGAAACCTTGAGAAAGAAGCTAAAATGTTGAAAGTTTGGGTGAAATCCTAGCACTACAGAAACCCTATAGATTGAAGATACTGGTATTCTTCCAGGTCGATTAATAAGCAGTTAGTTTCCTCAGTAACTAGACAGGACTTAAGAATGTTGGCTTCCCCTGGTCTGTTAACAGAGAGGGAAATATCTGCTTGTAAGATACTTTGCATTGTATTCCTAGGCTGAAATCTTAGACTGCAATTGCTAGAACACTCTGGCCAATTGTAATATAGAAGAACTTTTCAAACTCTTCTTCTAGGATGGCACCTTGACATCTGCACAAAAAATGGGAAATATATATACACACACAAAAAGATAAAAGCTGGAACAGAGGTGCATAACAGTGCATAGGTTAATGTGTACATATAGATGCACATTTACAAATAATACTGTAGCTTAGAGATAAAATTACAGCACATCTCACCATCTTGGGGATAATGACTGTGTCTGCTCAGTGTGCTGTTCCAGATGTTGCTGTTGGTTGGCAAGCTGAAGGCCCCGTGTCCTTCTTGTGATTCTTTCACTTTTAACCAGAAAGGTGTGTAGCAGACAGCCTTTCAGTTTAAGGATGCTTTCAAATAGGAGACTGTTCTTTGAAAGCATTTCCAGCAGAAGAGTGTCCTCTGTAAAATAGACCCAGGACCACCCCATGCACTCAGGTATACATGCACACAGGTATCAGTTGGCAAATAAGCTGAGCTCTATTGCAAAGCGTACTGCTTTGATTTAACAACGGTCCAGCCCATTCCTGCCACAAGTTTTTGCAAGCTGTGATTGTCACACATCTTGCAAGCAGCATCTGTGGACAGCATCACAGTCAATGGGCGAAGTTTGGGCAGAGGCTTGGAAAACCTTGTTTGGAGCTGGCAGTGGTATTCTGCGATTTTTAAAAGAAACAATAATACCCTACAGAGGAGATAAATCCTTTTCCAACATGCTATGCTTCAATTTTGCATGCTCAGTACTTGGACAGCTAATGTTTTCCTCACAGTATCAGCCAGTAACCTGTTGCATTACCCCATCTGTGCAATGAGAATGACACTGCAGTCTGTGGCAGACTGTTGCTCATGAAAGAGTTCCTTGTTTGGCTCTAGGGTGAGCACAACTTCCTCTCATTGTCCGTGAGTTGTGCACACCTCAAAACTGAAAAGTGAACTCTCTAAAGAGCAGTAATCTAACCTGGCTTGTGACATCACTCTCATTGCACATGTGGGGCTGTGCAACAGGATATGGGCCAATATTGTCAGGAAATATTGCGGCAAAGTTTTTTTTAATAAGAGAAGTGCTCAAAAGGGAAATTGCTTTTAAAATTCAAGCATCTCTCGCTTGCAGCGAAACCAATTACGAGAAGTTACATTTTGGACTACAACCTGCAGAAGACCCCGGTCATTACAAGTCTGAGCCATGCTGGTTGGGGAGAGTCTACAAGCTGCAGTGCAAAAAAGTAAAAAATTTTTTTAAAAAGTAAGTCTTCTAAGCTTAGTGTCTACATACCTGTGGCAAAGGCATCTGCCAGGCAACGGAGTTTCCATGGTACTGCAAACTCCTCACTGGTGAAGTTGGCGCGAGGGGGCATATAGTTGTTCTGCAAGTAGGCCCTCGGGTTGAATGTCTGGTAGCTTTTGGCCACAGCGGCCACTCCATTGGCATTCATAGCTTGGGAGATGCTGAGCTGCAGCGTCCTGCTCTCTTGGTGAGCAGAAGCTGGTCAAGTGGTTTTATAGCCCTGCTTGCCGAAGGCATCAAAACAGCTTAATGGACCGAATGCAATTAGTACCAAGTACTTTGGGCTGATACCATCAGAGACTCCCTGCAGGGCTATCTATAAATTGAGGCCATTTCTCTAACACACCTCCATGCCCTTCCGTCCAGGGAGTAATTGAGAAGACCTTTTTCTAAGAGTTTGATGGAGGGTCTGGCAGTGCTGTGGGGGTGGCAGGCGATGGATTGCTTTATCTTGCATTGGATGGTCGTTTAAGAACTGTATTGAAAGGACACTTTATTGAGGCTGTCCATCTACTATAACCAAATTAATGTCAAGAACTAGGGAGGGCTGGGAGGGGAAAGAGGAAGTGGAGTGGCCAGACACCAGCATCCTTCAGGGAAGAAGAGACTTGCTGACAGATATCACATGGCCCATGGATTTCATATGCCAAGTGTCACCCCCTCCTTCCCACTGAAAAAGCAGAAGCCGAAAATCACATCCTCCTATATGTACACACAATATTGTATCAGGAAATGCACGATCCAGATGAGAGAACAGGGATTGTTCTTGTTCTAAATAGCGGATACCAGAATCCATTACTTAGATGAATTATCCAGGAGGTCCATGGACTGAATTCTCAACATTACAAAAAAATAAAATAAAACCCAGAAGATTCAAGTCAGCCTTTCCCAGTCTAGCTCCCTCCCAGTGTGGTGGACTACAAACCCCATAACCAGCATAGCGATGCCAGCTGAGGATGGTGGGAGTTCTTGACCTCCACGTCTACAAAGCTAGTGTCAAGCAAGGCTTCCTTAGATACATCCGGCTGACAGGTAGAAGATGTGAGGCATGACAGAAATATATTCTTAACTGCTTTTTTTGTTTGTTTTTTGTTTGCATCTCAGAAGATTCCGGGAAAGCATCACAAGGATTGGGAAGAGAAGCCTGGATTCAAGGAAGGACTGTGGAAGGTGTGCAGTCTGATTTCTCTATATGACAGCACTGACCCCACCATCAGACGAAACAAGACTGCTACCTTAGGCAGCTGAGTTTGGGTGTTGTGAAAGGGCAGCAAATTGTTAATTGGGAATCCTGATGGCATTTTTGCTGCCAGGGATAGGGAGGGGTGCTTATGGCCTTTTTTCTGTCTCCTAGTAAAGGTAAAGGTTCCCCTTGACAATTTTTGTCCAGTCGTGTTCGACTCTAGGGGGCGGTGCTCATCCCCGTTTCCAAGCCATAGAGCCAGCATTTGTCTGAAGACAATCTTCCGTGGTCACATGACCAGTGCGACTTAAACACGGAACACTGTTACCTTCCCACCGAGGTGGTCCCTATTTATCTACTCACATTTGCATGCTTTCAAACTGTTAGGTTGGCGGGAGATGGGACTATTGACAGGGGCTCACTCCGTCACGTGGATTTCGAAGGTTTCGAACCTAGCAGTTCGAAAGCATGCAAATGCGAGTAGATTAATAGGGACCACCTTGGTGGGAAGGTAACAGCGTTCCGTGTCTTAAGTCGTACTGGCCATGTGACCACGGAAGATTGTCTTCAGACAAAACGCTGGCTCTATGGCTTGGAAACGGGGATGAGCACCGCCCCCTAGAGTCGAACACGACTGGACAAAAATTGTCAAGGGGAACCTTTACCTTTACCACCACATCCGTTTCTGCCTCCTAGGTCAAAATAAATAGGTTGGCTCTGAGCACTACTCATGTTGATTTGGGCGAGTTGGGAGCTTCATTGGTTGAGATGTTGGGCCAGTCCTGGAAAATCCCTTTTGCTACATAGGGAATCCCACAGGACGTTCTGTTCTGATCTCTACTTTCACCCCAAATTCCTTGGGAGAGGAGGAAAAAAATCCTTTATGCTTTCCAACCTAAAAGCAGCCATCTTAGCATCCTCAAAGGTCTTATGTGTCAAACCAAGAGCCTTGTTCAGGCAGAGTCTTGCTTTTCTAGAATTAAACTCATGTTGAGAACCCACGTGGATAAGAGAAGCTCTGCCCTTGAGAGTCATTGGTCTTCAATTGCAGAAGGAGGTTGAAATTATAGCCAGAGAGAAGCAAGCCTAGGCCACTCCCATCTTCACATCTTTCTGATCCTGGATTTTATGTGTAGCCTGCATAATTATTGGGCGGTATATAAGCAGCACATGTTGCTTTTACTTTATCAGGACCCATTCTGGGCATAGAGCCAACAGCAGTCATCAGCTTCGTACCTCTTTCATACTGGACCATTGTCTTCCAGACTGCCAAGGCCTGGTTACCATAGGAACTCTTTCTCTATTTCCCCCCCTCATTTTAGAATCCAGAGATCTGGGGCAGAAGAATGTCAGCTGTGCCCACTAACAGCTATGCTGTTTATGAGCCAGGTCCAGCCCTACCATTAGGCAGAATGAGGCAACCACTTCAGGATCAGGCGGTTGAGAGAAAAGCAGGATGTAAACTGAAGAAATCAGTTAAAAAAACTGTTCAACGGGACTGATCCAAAATATTTAATACTAATTGCTAACAATCATTCCTATCAGATCATGTGGCCTACATGATACACACACATAAAGAAACATCAGGATGCATTTGAATCCCAACCTTCTTCAGCAGTCTGAGAAAAAGAGAGCCTCCCAATGATCTGCTTCTGATCCAATCTGCAATCCTTTGTAGTCTGCAGGAGTACAACGACCACCTGTGTCAAGCGGCACCTCTGATGGAAAGAAGTGAAAGGAATTGTAATTCAACAAGTTCTCCAAGGTGCAGGTTCCCTGGCTTTGATCTACAATAAAACCATACATAAAGGGGTACAGTGGTCATCGTTGTCGTCATCATCATCTTAGAACTGCAATCCCTGGAAGGGACCCTATGGATCTTCATCAATCAAGCCCCTGTCAAGCTGGCACAATGGGGAATCAAACTCCAGCCAGAGGCATAAACCACTGAGCTATTTAGCAGTGGATTATGAAGTTCAACGCTTGTGGAGGGGGCATCGGAGTAGAGAAGGTGGTCTCAGGGGTAACAAGCTAACTGGCAACTCTAAATGGGAGCAGAGGAGGAGCAGAGCTCAGAATATTTCAGCTGGAAAAAAAAACTTTGGGTTACTCATGACTTCATGGGAATCAGATCGCCATTACCGTTATCATTCCTCCAATCATGCAACTGGTTGGTTGCATTTCACATTATTAACAAGTTGCTTTGCAGTTACCAACATTGCAGCAAAACAGAGTAATACTTTCTGCTTTCCTCCTCTGATATTGCACCATGGAAATATTTATAAAGATACAGAAGAGAAACCAAATACTTCCCTGATCGAAGAATGGCATAAGATCTAGAAAAAATATTCAAAAATGATTTATGTTAATTAAACAATAATTTTTGATAGCTAAGAGGTGTTATTCATAAAAAAATTAGGTTTTATTCATTACGCCTAGCTGTATTTTGTGTTACCCCAAAAGCAACTAGTTATATGTAGTTGTTTCAGCTAAGTATGTTTCGGTCTAGGGAAGAAAAAAATGTAATCTCTTTGATGTGTGAGATTTAAGGGCAAAATTGGGAGTTGAAATATATTTAATCTCCCCAGCAAATTATTCCAAATTAAATTATCTAATGCAGATTTGCACACGGTCATTCCATTGATCAAAACCCAGAAAGGTAAAAGGGGGGATTTAAATTTAGAATTATAGGATTAGAACAAACCTTTCTGCACAGATTTGTGGGCAAATGTGACAAGATTTGCACCTGGCCGTGGATCAGAGATACCATTGGCTCTATCTTTATACACACATTTTGTTTATCTTCTTGTTGCCTAGACTGAGCAGGAACTGTATGTGATAGCAACCAGTGTGAGACAGTATTTGGGTCTCATGAGCCAGGAGGCTGTAATTAATCCTCCCTCAGTGTATGTAGGAGTGTGCTCAGGCACAGACTCCAATCCTTTCCAGTCTATTTGATGCAAGCTGGGAGGCTCAGATGGAGAAACTCCATGTAAAACAGGCTGTTCCAAAGCGATCAAGCACACGTCAACAAGAGGGCCTGGGACACATCTCCAGTTTCCTATGATAAGGGTGGGCTTCAAGGTTACTTAACAGAAGTGCTTTTAAAATTGTCCAGAAGGGTTCTGAGGTGGAAGGGAAAATAATAACATATATGCACATGTGTGCATATACAGACAGGCAACACAAGAGTGAATCACTGCTTATAGCAATTTGTCAACATAATTTAATAACACTGAGATGCTGTGTCACATAGCTGAGCCCATTAGCTATGTATTCATAAGCCTGGCCCTAAAAAAGATCCACACCACATTGATCATTGCATGATATACACAATGATATAGGCAATGCAGATGACAATATTATAAAAAAGACACAATACTGATTTAAGTAAGGATTTCGGCAACTTCAGAGTCTAGTCATGTAATCCTATTTGCAGCTGCACAAATGTTAAGTCCCACAGAATTCAACAAGTAAACAGATCTGCAGCCTAAATCAGTAATGTTGGTGTGTTAATCCTAAAAATTACTAATCATTCCATAGAATGCCACTGCGTGTTGCTACAAATATCGGCAAATATAGACTCCAGTGTGTTTGCTTGTGGCACTCTCCTGCACTCAGCTGCTTGCATGTATGTGTGCGATTTATACCCCGCCTATCTGGTCCAAACTCCAATGTGTTTGCCTGTGGCACTCTCCTGCATTCAGCTGCTTGCATGTATGTGTATTTGCTACAAATATCGGCAAATATAGACTCCAGTGTGTTTGCTTGTGGCACTCTCCTGCACTCAGCTGCTTGCATGTATGTGTGCGCACATTCCTGTTTGTGTACATCAGCAGTGCACAGAAGCAAAATGCAGACACAACAACAGGTAGAGGCAGACTTGATGCATAGACCCCTGATGGCCACACAGCCATGTATAGCTGGAGCAAAATGCAAACTTACAGAGCAAAACAGAGTAAACCCCCTCATGCAAGAGCACCACCCAGAAAAGTTACTTGTCTCAGCTACAACCCCCACAATCCCTCGTTCAGCATGGCTGGAGGATTCTGGAAG